CCAACACCTAACCGTTATTTTCAACACCTCGACACGTGTTTCAATCACTAAGTGATCATCTTCAAGAGGAAGATTAAACTAGGAACTAATGTGAAGCTAACGCTATTTATGCTTCGCGATAGTTTCTAGTTTAATATTCCTCTTGAAGATGATCACTTGGTGATCGAAACACGTGTCGAAGTGTTAAAAATAGCGATTTGGTGTTGGGGGAAAAAAACTCCAGTAATATTCATTACTACACCAAAGGTTCCAAACAGTGCGTCATATGATCTATTATGCTAAAGTAGACTCTAGAATTGAGTATCTATAGTGTTTGTTTCTGGGAAGGGTCAACTTCAGCACAAAATATATTCATTGCACAAAAGCACATCATTAGATCAATGGCTAATATTTCTCAAAAAAATTCTGGTAGACATAACCCATAAAACATTGCCGAATTATTTTCTGATCACTTTTAAAATGCTGCCACATCTATTGTTTTTACACATTTTGGACAGAATTTGCTAGTAAATTTCGCTCCCTTTGAATAGCCCTATATAACAATCTGAAATATATGACACTCATATCAATGAAGAATAAGAGGTAGACTAGCATTTATGAATTATCAATAGTTATAATCAAAGATATAACCCATGTTATAATTGATCCTTTTGCATATTCAGTGAATCAATCCTGTATACAAGAGTACTTTCCAAAGGAATTTAAGAAAAAGGTAATAATGAAAGTATCTAAATTATGTGAAAAAAATTGTAGGAATCAGAATAATGAATTATTTGAGAATCAACAACTTTTTTTGCAATAATCATCATGAGAATGATCCAGAATATCAAGAAAGTTGTAAACCGATTTTTATAATATAGAAAGTGTTAACTGTCCCATCGGTATACATTTATAAATGTATAGTTTTTGTTAGAAAGAACCTGTTAGAAAGAACCTACTTTTTTAACCAATTGTTTTTTTCACTACTATTGCACTAGTCGAGGTGATAGTTAAGAATACCCATTCACAAAACAACCAAATTAAAAAAATCGCTCTTTTATAATCCAATCACCTTCTGAATCAAACTTCCAATTTCGATCAAGAGATCTACACCTCATGATATGTTTTGTTGACAGTCCAAGTCTTTCCTTGTCTGACACACACTTTATAGATGGTCAAATGAATACTACTACTACTACTATGTTGATGAATAATATAACCTAAATTTTTATATTATCGTTGCTACAGTAAATTCAAGGTTTCTGCTCATTTGATATAACGAAGGCTATACATTTTTTTTCAGCGTTTGAAATTCGTAGTAAAAACATTGGTGTATGTATTCACACCCATTACAAAGAAGTATTGAAATGTGCAAACGGTGAAACAGTTACAAGAAGTTGTGACAGAGCAGCTTATATCGGCGAACAAGCATTTTGGAGGTTTGAGGGATTTATGTTTATTGGTGGTCTCATATCTACTATCTGTGTGGTAACCCGACGAAAAGTTCTGAATCAAAGGATACTCCAGCGAGTCCAGAGACAACTTGCAAATTGTGTTTAAAAAGGTATTTACTAGTTAGGTGTATTTATTTCTTACTCATATGCCATTTTCATTAATTTACATGAGAATTCAGTTGAAAAATAGTTTTCTTTTTTTGACGACATTCATTGTTTTCTCTAATTGAATTTAGACAACCTTGTTGGAGAAAATAATAATGCTGAGAAATAATATATTGTATCGGTCGGTAGCTGGGTGGTTTGATGTGGGTGCTTTGTTCACTCAGTCAATCGGCCAATGTGTGAGTCGATGGTTCAAGCCGCAGGCTGAACGCTCGATTTCCACTTGCTATCGTCCAAACCGTGTTAGGAATCTCACGTTAAAAGGTAAGACCTTGTTAGTCCTAAGCTCGCACCAGTTTGGACTTCTGAGAATTGTCGTTTGTAGGGGTGCGATAGCTGGTTAACGGAAAAAACATATTTTTCTTACTACATATTATTCTTACTACATTATCATACTTCATTATTCATATGTGTTACTTCCAACCGGCTCTTTGTTTCTTGATTTTCAAGACTATATCTTTTCCACATTTTTTCGCAATTTACCTGTTTGTTTTTGTTCTGTATTGATTTACATCAACTGTTATTGGCCCGATTATTGTTGTTTCTGCCATCCTCATGTCTTCTTCATATTTCTTAGTTGTTGACGTCATCTCTGGTGCATATATTATTGACGGTTTTATTATTGTTCTATACATTTTCATTTTAGTGTTACTTGAGATTTCCTTACTTTTTAGTAGCTTCCTAGTTGACTGTTGATTTTTGTTGGCTTTTATAATTTTCTATTTCATCTTCATTTCCCTACTTCCATATGTTGTCATGAATTTTGTTTTCAGTTTATCACCTGGCCCAAGTTGCGTTCCTCTGTAATTACTTCACACAACATATTTCTCGTTATGTCATTTCTCTTTGCCAGAATCACTAAGTCATCTGTGTAGCCTATTAAATGTCCATCTCCTGTTCTTATTGTTTCTTTGTTTATTTTTCTTGTGACATATTCGTGTGCTATGTTTGGTTATTTTTGGTATGTTTCTAGATTCGACTATTTTCTGGTGATCTTTCACCAACTTCCTTCGCCCATTTTGGGTTCTTTTTGTATAATCATCCTCGATCTAAATTTTTGTACCTATTAAGTGTTTGGTTACTATTATTAGTAAATCTTCCCATTACTTTGGATTCTTCTATATCTTCAACCACTTTTATTTTAGTTCCCATTTTATTTAATAATCCTATTGTTTCTATCTCTCTCTCTATCTTTTGTTTTTACCTTGTATTATACATTTTTTTCCTCCTGATCTCTCTCAAGCAACTCGATTTTTTCATCTTGATCTCTCATTGCTGTTTTCAGGCGTTCAATATCCACTCCTATTCTAATTTTCATCTAATTATTGATTCTAATTTAAACCCCAATTTAAAATCTTGTGTCGGGTCTCATTCCTACTGTAATTACTCTTTTCACTTTATTTCACTGATTTTACTTTACTTTTGATATGAACTTCGTTCTTCAATCAGGAAACACTTTATTCAATGGATACAATTTCGTCTGTCCACCATCATACAGAGCCGGTTTTATTTGAGACAAATGGCATGAAACTAGCTGATTAAAGTTTAATCTTCCTCTTGAAGATGATCACTTGGTGATTGAAACACGTATCGAGGTGTCAAAAATAACGGTTTGGTGTTGGGATTAAACTTCATTTATATTCATCAGGAGTCATGTCATGTGATGGAGTCGGCCGATACTTGATGAAAGTCCATATCATATTCAATAAACACTTCATTGTGAGATTTTCACTAAACAGTTTTACAAAAACTCATCACATGTTTGGCTATACAATAGCGTGTCTATACTATATAGACACGCCTGAAGAAGCTATTGAATAGCATGTCAATACTATATAGACATGCCTGAAGAAGCTATTGTATAGCGAAACATCTGTTGCGTTTGTGTAAAACTTTTTAATGAAAATCTCTCAATAAATTGTTTTTTGATCATGTATAGCTGACTTACATAAACCCTTATTTCACTTTGAACACCAAACAACCTCAATATTGACCAATCAACAAGAGTATCTTCAATGTGTTATTATGGCTGCTGTAAAGGATATTCCAGAAGATGTGCCTCAGGTACGAATCTAGAGCTGCACATTTTGGTTCAGATGGCTACAAGATTTCTGCTAGTACCAGGTGATCGTCTTCCAGCTAGTGGGTGTACTTAGTACTCTTCAGCTATGGAAGATAGTCTTTCTGAAATGTGTTACAGGAATCTTTTTTCTCAAACCACACATTTATTTTGCTCAATTACCTGATAAAGGAAATCGCAGACTGACCGCCGATTAGATCCTCACTTGATTGAAGAAAATATATTATGGTCTGTTGATCTAGTAGTGGATTATTCTTTACAAAAAAATTAGGCTCTGGTTTGTCAGTTTCACCCTTGTCAGCTCTTAAGCAAACTTGAAAGATCACTCACTAAATAAAATAAAACTTGGATTCATTTTGTTGTTTCAATATGTGATGAAATTGGCTGATAGTTGCTAAAAATCCATAATGTATTCCACTAAAACTTTGTGAGATTTCCACAGGACATTTTACAAAACTGCAACACATATTTCAACTGTCTATATTCCGGTATGAACACACCTGAGAAAGATTTTGTATAGTGATAACTGTAACGGTTTTGGTGACTGTCCAGTGAACCTTTCAGAAAGTGCTACTTGAATGAGTTATATTAGGTGTGTCCCTCAATGAACACATGCAGGTTATAGTGGTCAATCGTCATATATATTTGATTTACATATGCAACATCTCCAAATTCATTTAATTTTCGTTCAAATAAAACTGTTTTGTCATGAAAACTAAGCATTTTTTTTGTTGATTCCTATTACACATGGAATGCGGAATTACGATTGAATATTTTTTCAGATAACTATGACCAAGGATAAACTTTTCATCAGTGCATTCCATGAGTCATCAACATCGTTTTCAGTAAGTGTAGAAACACTGGAAATCCTTTATATTTACAAACTAGTTAAGACTGACACAGTTGATCTCTACCTCGACGTGCTAATAGCCAAACCTTCAGAACCCCTGGTTGAATGTGTTTTTGATGGCATTACGTATACACCAACCCTTGATATTCCTGAAATAGCACAGTTTGCTGAGTGGCCAGTAATTGTCTCGGGAAAAAAAGTGGTGGCTGGCTTGTGTTCCGTAGCAAGATACTTGCTGAAGAATTCAACTAACATAGAAATCAAGAGCTTATTAGGATTCCGAGATGCTTGCCTTATGGCTTGTTCAGAGAGCTCTATATGGACTCGATTTTGTGAAATTGACATCATAGAAACAACGAAGAATATCATCAAAAATAAGTATTACAAAGAAGGCAGATTTTGCTTGCCAGGCGATATAGCAAGATTTGAGTTTCACTTATCGAAACCTGTGAGGATGCACAATATTTATAAAGTTGCTAGAGAAAAAAATAAGGACAAAGATATCTCTTCTCAAATACCTATAGAAAAACTCAATTTGAATCACACTTTCAGTGAAGGTACTATGATGACATTGGCAGATGTGATCTTGTATCAGTGTTACAAAATATTTTTCCAACTTTCTCCCTTTGATTTACTAGAAGAGAGATTACCATTAACACTGAGATGGTTTCAAGTGATGAGTGCTTCTGGTCTGCCACAATTGGAAGTGAAAGTTTCTAACCCGGAAGAAGAAGTGACAGTTATTGACGAACCTGTCTTTGTGAAACAAAGTCTCTACACTGCCGATCCATCCCGTTATAGACCAGAAAAACGAGTTTACACTAAGCAAAATGATATTGAACTAGCTTTTAAATTGCTTGCTCCTGTTGAAAGTGTAATTATCAACAAATGTATACCATTTGGAATAGATGCAGCTTTTGACTGGTCAAATGTACCAATTGAGGCAAATCCTAATGGGGGTGCATTACCTAAGAAGCGGGCAAGTAGAAAATGCGAGCAGCTTGAAAATCTTGCCAAAGCTGTTATTAAGCTGGCTTCGGACAAGGAGTATAAAATCGTGGATTTCTGTAGTGGTAGCGGACATTTAGGAATATTGTTGGCAGTTCTGCTACCAAATTGTGAAATTGTATTAGTTGAGAACAAAGAAAGATCTTTATTGAGAGCGAAGGAACGAATACAAAAGCTTAATCTACCTAATGTTACCATAGTACAGTCTAACCTAGATTATTTTCTTGGCAGTTTTGATATAGGCGTAGCTTTGCATGCCTGTGGAGTGGCAACAGACCTAGTTATACAAAATTGTATTTATAGACGAGCACACTTTGTTGTCTGCCCTTGTTGTTATGGAGGTGTTAAGGACTGCCATCATGTGACATATCCTCGTAGTGAGCAGTTTAGGAAATTGAAACTAGGATACAAGAATTATTTGAGCTTTGCCCATGCTGCTGATCAAACTCATGAAGAAGATAACGTGAAGACAAAACAGGGGTATTTTTGTATGGACATTGTGGATACTGATCGAAGGTTACAGGCAGAAAGTTATGGGTATAATGTTAATTTGGGTAAGCTCAAACCAAATAGCTGTACAAATAAGAATAATTTGTTGGTCGGAGTTTATTCGAAACATGAGGGAAATATATGAGTTTTATTTTTTGATTGTCTTATTTATTTGAACCCTTCTTTGAGACCTGTTCTTCAAAAATAATAATACTGTTTTCAAAATAATAAAACAACTATAAGCTTATAAATGCGAAAATCACTCACTTAACACTCACACATTCATGTCTGTTTCTTTGTACTGGAAAGTCCTAGAAAGCTAAAATTTGGTATATAGGGGCTTCTTAGGTCTTAGATGCGCACTAAGAGAGGATTTTCAAATATTCCAACTGGGACGCCTCGCGAGGGGGTAAAAATATGAAAATTACCTTTTCATAACTTTCTCTCTACGCCTATATTTTAGGAGTCTGAAATTTTGTATGTAGGTTCGTTTTATGTTGTAGGTGTGCAATAAAAAAGGATGTTTAGAAATTTCAACTGAGGCGTCCCCCTGGAGATGAAAAGGGCGCGTTTGCATATGAAAATTATCTTTCCATCACTATTTCTCCATTCCGCTATATTTTCGGAGGCTCAAATTTTGTATGTAGGTTCATTTCATTTTGTAGTGGTGCAATACGAAATAATTTTTAAATATTCCTACGGGGCGTCAGTAGCGGAGAAAAAGGCACGTTCAGAAAATAAACTTACTTTTCATCACTGTTTCTCCATACCGGTATATTTTCAAAAAGATAAATGTCTCCGAACCGGATATAATAGACAGGACAGACTTCTGCTTCGATAATTTTGTTGGGAGTTAAAATGGATACCAATACGTCTTGGCACAATCATGTCGCTGGAATTGCAAAGGCTTCCTCTCAAAAGCTTGAAACACTGTCCCGAACCAAAAAACTGTACACACCTCAGCAACTTTTGAATATTTGTAAAGCTCAGATCAGACCCTTTTTGTGGAATATTGTTCTCATGTATGGAGCTCCGTCCCTAAGCATACCCTGAAGCTGCTGGATTCCATTCAGAAAAGTTGGGGACTTGTCTCTTTTCTATACATCTATCTGTTAACCAATCGAAATTGATATAACAAGTAAGGTATTATAATTACAAAACCAATCGTATAGGCTTGCCTGCAAAAAATCGTACATGAAATATTATTGTCAAGCTATAAAGTTTTAGAATTGGAGTTATTTGATAGGTGCGAGAGAGAAAGCAGAGCTTCTGAAGTCCGTGTGGTAGAACAGGACACAACATAGCAGCATGCTACCTGACCGTTGAATGTATCTGAGTAGGCATGCTTGTGTACATGTGGATGACAGAGACAGCATTTGTTTATACTTGACAGTAATTTTGAACTCTAATTATAATTCTCTTAAAAGATATAATCCAGAGGGTTCATATCTGGAGATCTAGGTGGTCATGGTTGATGTCCCCCACGACTATCCACTGGCGAGCAAAAGTATCACATGGTCGTCTTACTAGCAAAGGTACATCCTTTAACAATTCTGGCAATGTGTCTTCTAGAAATTGTCTATACGTCACACTATTGAGTCGAGGAGAAAGAAAATGCGGTCCAATGAGATGATCACCTAAAATTTCCGCCCAGACATTCACTGAAAATTCCTGCTGAAATCTAATTTCTACTGTAGCATGGGGATTATCGTAGGCCCAGGAATAATTTTTATGGAAGTTTATGTTTAAAAAAAAATATGTTTAAAATATGTTTTTCCGTTAACCAGCTGTCGCACCCCTACGAACGACAGCCCTCAGAAGTCGAAACTTGTGCGAGCTAAGGATTAACGAGGTCTTACCTTTTAACGTGTGATTCCTAACACGGTTTGCATACCTTGAAAAACTTGCCTCATCTGTGAATAAAACTTCACAAGCTTCATACAATTCTTTGAAGTAACCACTGAGAAAACCCAATCGTCTTGGAAAATCACGCGATAAAAGTGCCTGCACCCGTTGCTTGTGTTATAGATAATAAATTTGTATGCAAAACACATCGATCACTGATATTGAACTGTGCAGCTAATTTTCGGTTACTTGTTAATGAATTGCCGTTAACTTCATGAATTATTGTTTCCTCTGTGGTGTAATTATTGTCCTCGGTCTATCAGGACGCTTGAAGATTGAGTTTTGCGCAGTCCAGCGTGTGATCTGGTGAAAGTTCTGTCTGCTGGAATATCTCTGTTAGGATATTTCTGGACAGAGACGACGGGCTTCTGCAACATTTCCATCTGATAATTTCGGCAATTTTTTTTCTACGAATTTGAATTGAAGTAAAGCACTGCTGAAACAGTTTGAAAAATTAATCAGGCATTTGGTAATTATAGTGTTTTTCGACGTTGGTTTACAAAATTTCGTCTCAGAGATTTTGGCCTAGAAAGACGACCCCGAAGTGGTTGACCTACAATAATCCGGAACGAGGATTTGAAGACCCTAATAGAGCCTGACTCATCACTGACGGTGTGTGGGATGGCAGAAGAACTGGGCGTCAGCTCCCATGCGGTTTTTGATGATTTGGAAGGTATTGAAAAGGTTAAGAAGATGGAAAACCGAGTAGTCTACAATTTGAACTATCGACAAAAATTGTCACGTTTCGGGGTCTGTTCTTCTTTGCTTTTGCGCAATCAAACAATCCTTTTTCTGATCGGATCCTCACGTGCGATGAAATGTGGTTCCTTTATGACAACAGGAGTTATTCAGCAGAGTGGTTCAACACCGATGAGCCACCCAGGCACTTTCCAAAGACGAAAATCCACCGGAAAAAAGACCATGGTTACTGTATGGTGGTCAGCGGCTGGTGTGATTCACTATAACTTTCTGCAACCGGGTCAAACCATCACAGTTGCAACCTATTCAGAGGAAATCGATGAAATGTACCGAAAATTGTGTCAGTAGCAGCCGGCACTGTCCACCCACTATACTCCTCAGACCTCTCGCCCACCGACTACCATCTTTTCAAACACTTCGATAACTTTCTCACCGGTAGTACCTTTGCCAATCAGGACCATGCAAGCACGGCCTTCGTCGACTTCATCGAATCACAACTACACAATTTTCATGCTGACGGAATTACTCGACTTGAGTTACGTTAGCGTTTATTTCTATTAAATTGAGACGAAAAGCGAACAAACTGTCATTGCTTTTAAATATTGGTCGACACAGGTCTCTTAATTTCACATTACAGAGGGCCTAATAGCTATTTTTTGTATGACTTAAATGAGTTGCTTGGAGCATACTCCCCAAAATGCAATTCCGTATCGTAAATGAGTGCCTAATTGGCAGATAGTAGCATGGACGTAGAAAAATAAATGGACTCGGCAAACCAATACCTTCAACACAAAATGTTTTGAAGCCGCTCGGTTCGGTGGCGAGCGGGTTACGGGGAAGGAGGAATCTTGCGATAGACTGTGACATACCCTCCAACGACAGTGGCGCACGCAATAAATTCAATATGGGCAATGTAAACGAAAATATGCAAAATGTTATATACTTATGAAAACTTCAGAGATCTATTCATCAATTATTGTTAGAGATTATAGATATTTCCGATATCAATTACAGGAAAACT